ATTAATTGCTGATAAAAGTCAGGGTACTGAGGTCATTCTTTTTAAAGTCAAAGTTTTAATTCTCAATATCAAATTCAGTCATGTTTAAATATTATGAAATAAAATTAAAATGAACTTCAATAAATTATCTTCCCTTTCTCTGATCATTGCACTAGCTCATTTAGAATGAAATTAAATTCATTTTGTTTTCATCTTGAATCATTAAAAACAAAAGAAATGTATTTTATGTGAGTCACAAAACGCTTATCTTTCAGTTGATTGAGTGATCGTAAATAATTTAGATATAGCTGCATGTATTTACCATAAACGGAGGAATAGAGGAAATTCGGATTAGGAAAAAAACGATCGTTTTTGGAAGTAAATAAGTCAGGTAATTCTGCAAAACGGATAAGATTATGGAGATTTATTGACAGTAGGAGTATTGTTGTCTGGAAAATATAAACTGGTTGGGAATTTTATAGCCAAAAACGATTTAAAATACTGGTTGTGCTTTTCATGTATTGCGTGTGTAGTTATATTTTTTACTAGCCCGACGGGCTACCTCCTTGTAGAAAACCACTTTCCCGACCCCCAAAAATGTTAGCCCTGGGCGTCAGGGGATGCTAATTGCACACCCCTGGTACATATGAACAGTTAAACAGACATGGTGCAAAACTTCACAAACTGCTTCAATCTCACTATAAATCCCGCGCATCTGTCATACAAGTTCTCGTGTGTGAGTTTGGTGCAAAAAGTCGAGAAAAAAAATTGTAGTCGGATTTTTTGGAAGCGCGCGCGGACATTTTTTTTTAAATATTATAATTTGCATTTGTAATAAATAGAAGCGGCGAATCCGACGAACTATATTAGAAATTGGTATGGCCTTATATACAAAGATAGATAAGATAGATCTAGTTTTAAAAAAACCCTGAAAAATAAAATTGGGCAATTTACTCAGTTATGATTGTTCTATATTTCTCGGTCATTTTAATAATCTTGTAAGATGTCTTACTCAAAGGACAGTAAAAAATTAACAAATTTCGGATGCATGCCTTTAATATCCATGACATTTGCCTTTGTTATATAATCATAGGGAAATCTGAAACTTGCGTTTTTTTAGAACTTCAATACACGAAGTAAAGAACAATAATAGGGATTAAGCAAATCGATCAGACAAAAACTACAGACTTCTGAATTTGGAGTATGAATATCAGAAATATTCTTTCCAGACGAGAAATATTCATGAAACAAGATGACCTTGGACAGTTGGTAACGTTAGACAGACTTCAAAGAATTATTTTATGTGCTGTTCCTTAAATTGTTTTTTATTTATGTATAAAAATGAAAGTAACTTAATTTTTTATGGAATTATTAAGTCACTCAGGTGACCTATTGCTATCTCTTTTCGACCGCCGTGCTAACATTTGTACATTTTCAGTTTCAGTTTGATAAGACTAAACCAATTTCAATCTATTTTGTCATATAGCATATATGGGTTAGGGGAACAAAAACTGAAAATCATGACCCTTGCCCCAGGGACCAGAGGATGGTGTTAAATCCATAAAAATTAATGCAATTTTTCAAAATCTTTACTCCTGGGCATTAAGCAGTCAAACTGTTAGCATAATTGTAATAAGCATTGAGTCCCCTACCTAAATCATGAAATTCATGGCCCCATGGTCATGGGTTCTGGTGCTAGGATGGGACTCTATTGCTTATATAGTGAAAATGCAATAATTCTTTTAAAATCTCTTCTGCTCTTGGGTTTTAAATAAACTAACCAAGTACATGATTATGTTGAATAAGGCTGCCTCTTCCAAAACTGTGAAGTTCCGGACCCAAGGGGTCAGAGGTTCTGGTGCTAGGGTGGAGCTCTGTTAATTTTATAGTGAAAATATTTTAGTTCTTTGAAAATCTTCTCTGCTCCTGGGTACTAGTATTAAAGCAATGAATCCTGTACATGGTAAATTGGTAATGATGTGGAAAGATGCGTCTACCAGAATTGCGAATTTCGTGACCCCTGGTCTGGTGTTCCGATGTTATATGTAAAGTGGTGCTCTATTCATTATAAAATGAAAATGCATTAACAGCGAGGATTCCTCTTCCAGAATTGTTAATTAAATGGTCCCTAGGTGAGGGGTTCTGGTATTAAAGCGGATCTCTATTGATTATATAGTGAAAATGCATTTATGGAAGTTCTTTGAAAATCTTCCTCTCTGCTCGAGTTTTTAACCAATACACGTAAACAATACATTTGAACTATAGATATTATGATGAGGAAGGGCGCTCTTTCCAGAATTCTGAATTTTATAGCACCTTAGTCAAGGATCCTGTGTTAGGGCAGGGTTCTATTGATTATATAGTGAAAATGCAATAATTCTTTGAAAACCTTCTCCGCTATTCCTGGGTATTATGCTGATTACTTCAGTACATAGAATGCTTCTTCTAGAATATTGAATTTCAGGGCCATTGGATCAGGGGGTACCTGGAGAGGTATAAGGGCGAAAAAATTGTATACTGAAAATGAATTTAATGCTTTGACATTTGTTCCTTGGTATATTCACAGATTTATAATGAACAATGGTGCCTTTAACAAAATTATGGAATATATGAGTACAGTACCCTAGACATCGGTTAAACAGGGACTTCGGATGTCCAGAAATGCCATCAACATTTGTACGTATGATCCCCAGGTTTGACTTCAGTGTTGCCATTGACAGTTTTTCCATCAGATTTCCTGTTGCTAGGTCTCCTTTCTGTTTGCTTTATTCTTTGTATAACTTGTAGGGTTTTGTGTCAAGTGAACGTTTGTTACATCTGTACTGGTTCGTAGAGTCACACTCAATCATTTTCTGTGGACAATCGAGGTCTTGACAAGTGATTTTCCACGATGTCTGACTTCAATGTTGCCATTTACAGTCTATCTATCAGGCATCCTGCTGCTGGACCCCTTTTTCGTTTGTTACATTCTGTGTATAACTTGTAGGGTTTTCTGTCAAATGAACATTTGTTACATTGGTTCGTAGAAAAAACACATTCCTTTTCTGTGGACAATTGACGTCTTGACACTACCCGTACTTTTACAGTTGTGTCTCATGCACAATTTTATTTAGTCTTGCAATTTTGCGTAGTTAATGATTATATTTTCTGAGAATTTTTTGCTTGTATCCTGTAACCTTTTTTTCTTGGTCGTAACTTCCACGGAACAGTGTTAGGCGGCCCCCCGTATCTCCTTGAGGTGGCTTCACATACGACCTCATCTTGACGAAACACAGTGCCTTTGACCAAAATGAGCTCTGTGTTGCTCGAGAACTTCTTATTCTTATTCCAAGGTTGGTGTCTTATTCCGAAGATATTTTTATCTACACCATACAATTTGAAATGTTGTTTTCCTTGCATCTAAGTACCATAGATTAAAATACAGAATCTGAAATGAATTTGTCAGGGGTGCTTCAGCCTTGTGGGGTAGGGCACTACTGATTATAAAATGGAAATGCATATTTCCTTTGTTCTTCTGGTTGTTTCTGGGTTTTAAGTAGTCTAACTAAGCAAGCTAAGTGTATAATTATGATGAACAATGGTGTCTCTTTCAAAATTGATTTCTTGACCTCTGGTTTAGAGACTTAACCAAATTCAATTAGTGGAAAGTTGTAACATGGTACTCAGGTGACCTATAAGGCCTTTGGACCTCTTGTAAATTTATGAAACGAGTTTTCAGTCTTATCAATTAAAGAAAATCAACATCATAAAAAAAAGTAGAGTACATACATATTAAATTTCGACGAGCAACAAATTGAAGAATTTGATTTAAAAAACAAAAAGAAAAATGTGAAGAATTACCTTTGGGAGAGAAAATTTACTGCAATAGACAGAAACAGGTTTTTTTCAGTTTTAGCAAATATTTTAATATACGTCTGTTCATGTTAAGCGGAAAGTACGGGCAATTTGGACGACTACATCGCCCCTTGGAAAAACAAAGAGATATATTGTAACCACCCCTCTTTTGCATTTGATGTTCTTCAATTTGTTCAGCTATCTGTTCATATATGTTTCTCTTGGAAAATTAATTAATTCGGCTAAAATTATAGCATGATTGTTTTGTTTCTAGCATTTTAACAATGGAAACTTTCTTTCGTTTTAATAATTGTTATCTTACATAAAATACAAAATTTTAATAAATAAATCAAGATGTGTTTGTGAAACACTATGTGCCCGCCGGAAACAAAGTTAAAAAAAAACTGTTTTTAGCAGATAAGTCAAAGTCAAGGTCACAAGGTTATTGAGCTTGATTTTATTTGAAAGAACTTCATTAATGGAGTATGCACACCAAATATGAAGTCTCTATCTCTCATGGTTCAAAAGTTCGAAAAAGCTATTTTTAGCATATTGGTCAGTCAACGTCATAAGGTCATTGACCTTGGTGTCATTTGAAAGAGCTTGATTAGTAGAGTATGCATACCAAATATGAAGTTTCTATCTCTCATGGTTCAAAAGTTATGGCGAAGGTTAAAGTTGACAACAGACAGACAGACAAACAGATAAACAGACAGGCAGGACAAAAACAATATACGTCTCGGATCTATCGATCCAGGCGCATAATATATTTTAAACTAACGTTTCAGGCTTTTATACCACTCGGAAGGAATACTGAAGTATCTGAGTATTATAATGTTTTAATAATTGCACAATAAAATAGGATTTTTTTTTCTTGTATTGATTTACATTATTTTATCACAAGCAATGAAAAAACACTTTCACTTATTCTCACCATAACAATTTTCCTACAGTTGCCAATATTACTGATAATGATTGATTTTTTTCCCTCGATATTTATGTGAAAATGGTATTTCCAAAGTCTTTGGAATTAGTTATGTCAATCTAACCCGGTGAAAAAGAGGCAAACTGCATGCGGAATGCAAAAGCCATGCATCCAAGAAGAAAGATAACTGATGAAAATGTATACATTTCTTTTATTAAAATCTCTCAAGATAACTTTAAATAAAAATAGAACTTAGACTCAGTACTGTAATATTTTTAATATTTATTTTAATTATTGGGGTGAAAAATTGTCAACAGCATAATATAAACATACTAAAACTGAATAACATCACTTCGTTGGTGATAAAGTAGATGTTTTAAAGCAATATGAGCTGCAACTTTGATGTCGGAATTTTTGTTGCAAAATTGTAAATAACTATTTTAATGACAGAAAAAAATAACGTTAATAAACTTCTGTTGTTCATATTTGCGATGGAAGAACTATTTATAAGCTTCAACTGAAGCAAAATAACATTATTGTCGTCCCAAAAATGATTTCTTACAAAAAACTGTATATTGCATTGTGTATAGAAGTCTGTCTTTCTTCTGCTTTATCTTAGTCTAATTGATCATAAAGGTTTAAGTTACATACTTATTTATCATAATAACACATTTTAACAGCAAAATAAAATTTTCAAAAATGCAGCTCATATTGCTTTAAAGAGTCGGGTGCTTAATTCCCTCATATAACTTATGTTCTATTCTAAAATGTTTTATTTTATGCAAGAACGGACAGCACTTCGACAGGGCTAAAACGTACACTTTCCTGAAATCTTTCATAAATAAGGGATAAATAATTGGGTTAATTAAGCTGTTACAATATCCCAACCAAACAAAGGCTGTAAACAACTTTCCAGGAATACACTGACAGAATCCCTCTACGATATTGGCACACAGAAACGGGGACCATGTTGTGACGTAAGCACCGACAATTGTCCCCAGCGTCACCGTAGCCTTACGGGTGAGTGGTTCCCTCAGGTGTTTAGCTGGCACATGCTGTCTCAAAAGAACATTTCCTGGGGTAAGAAGAGTTCCCACGAAAAATGCTTGTCGTTTTGCTTCCTTTGAAACACGGTAATAAAGTACAATGGCTATGATAATTGGACATAAAATCGTTACGGGTGTGGCGATTACGCCATATATTCCACTGATAATGAACAAACACTGCGGAGTGCTGGAAAATAGAGTTAAATTCTTTAAGGAGGGGACGTCAGGATTGTGAAGGCCATTCATTATTGGAACGAAAGACGAAAGAATTGCTATGCTCCATGCAATTATCAGCATTAAGAAAGCTTTCTGGAATGTCATCACTGTTTTGTATCTGAGAGGGGTTAGAATGGAGATATATCGGTCTATGCTGATTAGACAAACATTTAACACAGAAGCACTGGACAACATTACGTCAAATGATACCCATACGGAACAAAACTCATGTTGAAAGATCCATTCTTGAAATATTATCTGCAGTGCAGATGGTATCATTACGATAGATCCCAATAAAAAGTCGGTAAGACTTAACGATACTATGAACATATTTGAAACAGTTCGTAGTTTCTTCTTCACAATCATAGCTAACAGAACCAGCGAATTGCCTAAGATGGTTAGAAATATGAGGAGGAATAAAAATACTCCAAGGACAATTGTCTCTGCATTTGCATGGAAACTGTTTGCCCGTGCACTCTTTTCTGTGGTTTTCGACCAATTTGTTGCACTTTCCAAAATGACATCTGTGTCGTTGAACACCATGTAGGGCTTGCGTTGACATCCACAGGAACATAAAACCGATTCCATAAAATTCTCACTGGAGCAATGAAATGGCACTCTTATTGGTTTTGTTACGTTTTGCTCTGTTCATCATGAATGTCCGTATCTCTGCAAGAAAGGAATACGGGTTTTATGTATGTTTTATGATAAACAACATATTGATCTCAAAACGTCGTGGAAGCCTTAAATGATCTAAAGACGTTTGCTTGGTAACTACAAGCAACATCATCTAATTTCACTTACAACTTTTTAATTGCTGATAATGAATCATCTTCCAATATGTTCCGTTTATTGTCACGCAACATTAAGTTTTCTTAATATCATTGCTCTTCAAAACTATGAATAAATAATATTTAAAAATTTCTAGATATCTTCTAAGGAAGATGTTACATTTTATTCGAAAGACCAAGATAAGGTAAAAACAGGCTATGACCCTTTAACTAATTTCAAAAAAATCAAAACACATAATTACAAATCGTGAATTGAAAATTGAATGATGCTTATTTTAAACCCAGCGATAAAATTGATTCAAAAACATTTTCTGTACTGGAGACAAAACGAAGTGTGACAAAGAAAATCATCAATTTTTTACTGAATTTCGGGGGTTGTATAGTTTTTGTCCTGTCCGTCCGTCTATTTGTCTGCAAAAACTTAAAACTTTACTTTATCTTTTGAGTGGTTAGGGCTATGTTATTCATATTTTACATGTGTACAGTATTAAATATTCCTTGTGAAAGACCTTTTTTTTGGTTACCACAAAATTGAGTACTTGATTTTTGGAGTTTGACCCACTTTTATAAAAGATTTCCACACTTTAACTTTGGCCATAACTTTTGAATTGTTGGTGCTAGGGCTTTAATATTTGACATATATATTTATTGTGGTAAGACCTTTCTTTAGGTAAAATTATTTTAGACCTAGACCTTAAGAGTTTGACCTACTTTTAAAAACATGTCAAATGGATATTATTGATACTTGTTTTACATTTCTTTGTAAATATATTTATAAAATCGTTGTTGAAGTATTAAGGCATCGCAAAGCTCATGTGTATTTGTTACATACATGTAGAGAGTGCATATACGTATACGTGAAATTAGAAATCATTTCAGAAGAAATTTTACACCATAGGCTTTATTCTACGTTGATTCATTCCCCTCCCTCGTTTCTTACCTGCATCCAGACCTATGGAAATTGATAAGCACACGTACTCTAACACATTCGTCAATAACCGATGGAAACCCCTTAACTATTTACATATATAATAACAATGTATGAAACTAGTGCTAATTGTAACGGGGACCGTTACAGATGTTCCCCAAACGCTCCCCAACTCCCTTTTGGTGCCATATTCCCTGTAAGCTTCATTAAATAAGACAACCTCTATGCATCTGAGATTTTAACAACATTAACAAAGAAGTGTACAAAAATTATTTAAACTTTAGCATTGCACGCGTGCACATGTTAATGCATATGCGTCATGACCATATCATCTTGTCTACACAATCTATATTTTTAATATACTGAATATTAAAGTATTTAATCCAAAATTATAAAAAAAAAATTCGCTCATTCAAGTGTATGTTTGATTTTTCTCATTTCACGTGCACGCACGTGCATACATGAGCATGGTGACCATACCTTCTTGTAGAAGTCCATTACATCTATCTATGTTCTAAATTCCACCCCTAAATTCAGATTGCAGCACATGTACACGCACGTGTATGCATGTGCATGGTGACCATACCTACTTGTAGAAGTCCATTATATCTATCTATGTTCCAAATCCCATCCTATTTGGTTGAAAACCAAGGGAGTTATAGCTGTTTAAAGTTTCAGCCAATCAGATTGCAGCGTACGTGCATGCACGTGTTTTCATGATAATTGCTTTATTTCATGTTGTAGGATATCCTGATGCATGGCTATGTTCAAAATTTCAAAGGATTTCGTCAAAAAACAAGAAAGATATTGAGACTTTAGTTGCAGCCAATCAGAGCGAAGTGCACGTGCATGCGCGTGAGATCTTGCTATTTTCACCATGTCGTCATGTCTATACTACTAATATATCCTCACATTATGAGTTTCAAAGCATTTCATTTAAAAATAGAACAGTTGTGGCTATATCTATTATATTGGTCATTTCACGTGTTGCACGTGCACGCTCTTGCAAGCACGTGCGCGCAAAATGACCTTGATTCCGCAAATCTACATAACATGTCTACTAACCCTAAAAAGGTTTTACCTACATCGGACGAACAGTTTACAAGATCATTCCCGGACAAAAAAGTTCCAGGAAGAAGAAGAAAAATAATAATAACTAGATGCGTTCTTGTTGCTGGTGCAACAAGCAGGTCTTCCGACCGATTTTCGTTAGAATTCTATGCTGCGACATCCCATAAAATTTCAGAATGTATTTTTCTCGTTTACGTTCATTTACAGCAGCCTCTTAACATATCTCATGATTATTACAGGTATTCCTCAAAATATCTCAAAAAAAGCTTTTAAAAATCGGCAAAATCTTCCATATATGTTAAAATAGAGAGAACAGTTATTTGCAAATGCAAAAAGATAGAAACAAAGAAAAAAAAAATCAACGCCCACAGCGGGATTCGAACCCCCGACAGTGGGACAAAGTTTGGTTTGGTCATATCTTTTCAATAGATGCACGCATCAAGATACTAAATACATATTTAGAATTCTCATAAGACACACTGTCAACCCTGTAAAGCCTAAAGAAAAATATTGAAAAACAAAAAAGTTGAAAATTTGGAATTTCTTATTTCACTTCCGTTTGCGGCCGGAAGTCAAAACTACGAAAAATGAAGGTCGATCAACACATCTACAATTGATGTTCTATCACCTCAGCAAGTTTCAGTTTCATATCTTTTGCCGTTCTCGAGATTTTTTTGCGACAAAATTCCATTTAAAAAATACAAATTTCCCCGAAAATCGCGAACGGAGAAAAATTTCAAAAAAGTGAGGAACACCCCTGGAGATATTGACAAGATGCATCATCCCTGAAAAAATCGTTAAAATTCGTCCACGCACAGCTGAGATATGACCTGTACTATGAAAAGTGGAATAATAATAATAATAAAAAACAGAAGGAAAACAATAAGGTCTTCCGAAGGAAGTCGGAAGACCTTAACTAGATATGAAACTCGTTGCGAGCAACGAGAGGTCTTCCGTCCGATTCTGGAAAGAAAAACGTAAAATCGAGCTAAAAATGAAAAAAAAAAAGATTTGCACACAAGGGGGATTGAACCCAAGTCGCCAGCAGGAAATTCCAAAGCACTTAATATTACGCTATCAGGACCTCTACTCTAAATCTACTTGAATATATTATGGAAACAGTGCTTCTCTCTTAAAATTATGAAAGGTTGGTCACTATTCAAAATTTAGCGCCAAACGCCACGAGTTAATCTTGAGCCTTTTCTTTGGAATTTTCTATTATATAGGTGCGATAGCTTCAATGAAATTAAAATAAGAACGCTCTTATAGCTTAAGATTCGAGGTTTAGAAAGTATATTTAACACATTTTACAAATTCCGTATTGTATATATGTATGTAACACTTAAGCGGTGAAACAGTTATGATTTTTTTTTCAATTTCCAGTTTATCCCCAAAGTGAACTATCTCGATTAGTTAATCGAAAAAAGTTGAAACGTTTCGCCGAAGAATATGGCTCGCCCTACGACAGTCAAGGAATCAGATATCTTTTATGCTCAGTAACTTGAATCAGGTCTTTGAGACAAGAATGCTTAAATAAACTCCATGAAGCGATCTTTTAAAAAAAAATGTTTTCTTATATTTTGTTTTATTAATTAGTTTATTATGACACAAATGTGTATAGGAAAAACAATGGTTAAGATATATACTGACAATATTAATATTCTTTTTTGAGAAAGTATTATGCATAAGTATGATTTAAGATCTGTTTTTCCGTGATGCACAAAAGATATTTGGTATCGAATTTCATTTGCACGTTTAGTCTTTTCTTTTTCTACTTTGAAAACCAGCCAAACCAATAATAGAAGAATTTAGTTTGACACAGAAATGCAACGAAACTACGACGTGACATTCCAAGTATTCCTTTACATTTCATGTATTCTTATGTTGCTTTCGTTCAAGCAAACGCTCGGCTGCCTCCGTAAACCCCTATTGCGAAATGTCGGCGTAGCCAGAGAGCCCCGCCATTTTGGACCCGCTTCAGATTTTTGAATGCTAATATCTAGAGTTTAGATTTATCAACATTCAAACAAATTGTATAGTAAGCATTATAAGAAGGGTTTCTATTAACATACAAAAAATAAATGAAAAATACTGAAAAACAAAAAAGTTGGAAAATACAATTTTTTTTAATTTGCATCTCGTAACGACCGGAAGTATTGACGACGCACGAGAAGGTGATTCTGCAAACCACAAAGTGACAAACTATCGTCTCCAATAAGTCTCCAGATCATATCTTTAGCCATTTTCGAGAAAAAGGGGCGACAAAATCGCATTTTAAAATCAGGAAATTGTCAATAACTTGGCACCAGAAGCGAATTTTCAAAATTTCTCTACGGATGTAACAACTTCATATAATGAGACATATTTTGTGAAAGTTTCATGAAAAACTGCTGAACAGTTTTCGAGAAATCGCCTGCACAAAATTTTGGGGAAAAAAATAAGAATAATAACTAGATGTGAAACTCGTTGCGAGCAACGAGAGGTCTTCCGTCCGATTCCGGAAGGAAAACGTTAAATCGAGCAGAAAAATTGAAAAAGATTTGCACACAAGGGGGATTGAACCCAAGTCGCCAGCATGAAACTCCAACGCACTAAATACTACGCCATCGCGACCTCTACTCTAAATCTACTTGTATATATGTACAAAACAGTGCTTCTGTCTTAAAATTATGAAAGGCAGGTCACTTTTCAAAATTTAGCGATAAACGCCACGAGTTAATCTTTGCGCCTTTTCTTTGGAATGTTCTATTAAATAGGTGTGATATCTTCAATGAAGTTAAAAAAAGAACGTTCTTATAGTCTATTCAAGGTTTACAAAGTATATTAACACATTTTACAAATCCCATATTGTATATATGCATTTAACACTAAAGCGGTGAAA